AGTCATCACTGGCAACACGCACTGGTTGTACAATGTCGTTTTCGGGTTTTGAGGTATGCCTAACGAGAAGATGTGTCGTAGTTTCCCGAACGCTGCCCAGCCGAGTTGAATCCGTCGATTGACCTCTCGGTCGATGTTGGACTTACCTAGTCGGACTATTTGTCCCAGGTAAACATACTTTTTTAACGTGGTAGAGCCATGCTGCAGCTATATTAGTGGTATAGTTGTAGCACGAATGGGTCGGCTCGACCGAGGAAGGACCACGCTCTTACAGAAAACCAGCGTAAAATAGCAGCTTAACGCTGCTGTGTTTCGTATGGTGAGTGTAGAGAACCGGAGACCCTTTTTACTGGCAAAGAGGCATTCCATCTTAGTCCTCACGGGTGACAACGCATCTGCATCTTGAGTCTTTATTGAGGATAGATGTAGATGTCTATGGGTCACAGTAACCACTTACCATCAGGTGGACTGTGTGCTCGTTTGTCACCCTACCCTATAAAAAAAATACTCGTCAACAACTTCGAGCTTATTGCTCCCAATGACTACCGGCATAGGTGTGACATGGACGTTAAACATGATTTTTCTTTTGTCCATGTTCATCTTAAGACCTATCCGTTGGGAGACACTATTGAGGTCATTGAACATCTCAGAAGGGAAATCGGGTAGTTCTTCAAGAGAGCGTTGTCGCCTTTCTTGAAGAACAAGACCACCGCACTTCTGCTCCAGTCCTCCGGAGTAGTGCCACCAAGGAGGACGGAATTAAAGAGGTTCTGAAAGACTTCAAGTACCGGTTTTCCACCCGCTTTCAAAAGCTCCGTCGTAATGCCATCCTCGCCCGGGGACTTTCCGTTTTTAAGGTGCTGGAGAGCCATTCTAATCTCGCTCAGACTGACGTCCGGGATATCTTCGCAATACTGTCGGTCTTATGTACAATATGGAAAAGAGTATGTTTGTGGTCTGTGGCACTAAAGCTTTTTCGGATACCAGCTTGTTCAGGGGACTGGCAGTCATCTAATCTGCGTGCGAGACAATTCGTAATTAATCTCGAAAAGAGCACGTAGACATGGCTCAAGAGGGAAATCGTTCGGTAGTTCTTCAACAGAGCGTTGTTGCCTGTGCGGAGCGTTAACTTCTTTAGACGTGTACTCCCAAACTTAACATTAAGGATTAAGGTTCAAGGTGGCTCTTATCACTTGGTGATCGAAGATAGTTTTCACCGATGCCGCCGCGGAAGGCTTCGATTTGGGTGTTGCCGCCTTCTTCGGTTTTGGAGCCTTAGGTTTCTTTGTCGGTGGTTTGGCGCTCTTTTTCGCCTTCGAAGCGGCGCCTTTCGTCTTAGTAACGCCGCTTTGGCCAGCGGTTGCGGATTTTTGCGGGTTCACTGAACAGTTGCGGCTTGGTTGTTAATCTCATTTTTTGTCGATCCGTCGGGATTTGACCAGATCCACTTTCTGTAGAGCCGCTTCTGGAAGAAAGATTTCATCATAAAGAGTCCCTCATTCCCCGTGAAGTCGGCCAGCTGCTGCCTCCTTGGGTTCCGTTGTCCCATCCTGAATTACTATATTTTTGTGCCTAGTTTTGCGTTGAAGTCTCCCATTAACAGCGTATAGTATCATTGGGATGTGCCGAGGTTAGTGTGTTAACCTGTATGACCTTTAAAGAATACCGTTTGGTAATTCTAAGTGTAAGGTACGCAACCCTCGTCGACACACTCCCAATCTTTACAACTTCGTTAACGAGAAACTTGTGGACGATAAATTCGACACCTCTTTGGAATAGATGGTCCCGGATGATTCCCAGTGGTAGAACAAATTTCCGGATTCGAAGATTACCCTCTCCTCCTCTTCTCTTCGGACCTCTGATAATCCTATAATATCCTAGTGCAATTTGTCTATTTCTTCTTCCAGCTCCAAGATTTTTTCGTCAGTCCTCAGGGTGTGTGCGTTGAATGTTTCCAAGTCGAGTTATCTTAGGTAACCGCAACCGAACCTCCAACGGAGATTCTTATCACCCCCTGCCGCGCCGTTACGGTAGTCACCACTGTAGTCAGGAATAGCGTGGCCGCTGGGGACTTAGGTCCGTTTCTTTATGGCGTTGCTCATGGGGGCTTGCCAAAGTTGCCACGCATGGCAAGCGGATTGGCAACTGCAGTTTTTTAATTATAGTTTTTGTTAATTTATACGTGGTAGAGCCATGCTGCAACTATATTAGTAGTATAGTTGTAGCACGAATGGGTCGGCTCGACCGGGGAAGGACCATGCTCCCACAGAATACCAGCGTAAAATAGCAGCTTGACACTGCTGTCCGGTTCTTTACACTCACCATACGAAGGTGAGTGTAAAGAACCGGAGACCCATTTTACTGGAAAAGAGGCATTCTATCTTAGCGCTTACGGGTGATGACGCATCTGCATTTTGATTCTTTGTTGGGGATAAATGTAGATGTCTATGGGTTACAGCAACCACTTACCACCAGGTGGACTGTGTGCTCGTTTGTCACCCTATCCTATAAAAAAAAAGATGCTGCTGCTCATTTCTGTCTCGGTTTCCCTCTGTCGCCTCCCAAAGAAATCGTGTGGCAGCTTCGTACCGGTAGACGAAGTTAAGATCCCCCCCCCCCACTAGATGAAGTGACGACCTGGCAAGACTAACGAAGAAAAATGCAAGAAGTCGATGGATACAGGTGAATTAAGACTGTGCTTTGTGGCATTCTTTGGGGGAGACACTGTATAAAGCGATAAACACTGAAATAGAATTGAATGCGAAAGCCGCTACTATCCATTGAGTTATACATATGTACTACGTACTAGAGAAGCCATTCCAAACAAAAATTGTGTTCTACTCTATGTCTTCGCGCATGCGCGGGAGTAGTAGTCGTGCATGCGCGAAGACTTTAATTTAATATAAAATAAGATATTAATATAAAATAAATATAAGAATTTAATATAAAATATCTTAATTTAATCTAAACAAACATATTTCTAAATAAAATGTAATAATAATTATCTTATGGAATTCACAAATCTTCAATTTACGCAATATTTAGTTTATATGGATTGCACTACAGTTCAGTTGAAGTCAATATAGTCTAGTCAATGTTCGGAATGGCTTCTCTAATACGTAGTACATATAACTCAATGCTACTATCCCTCTGTAATTTGCAGTATAACTGACAGCGTTTGAATTTTTTTGATTGAGGTTGTTATATTACTTCCTTAAAAATTTATATCCTGTTTCATCCACAGAACACTAATACCCTTAGGCGGGTTTCATCCAAGCGAAGTTTGTTGACCGTTGACACCTCTTACTTCATTACATTAAAAATATATATTTTTGACGTAACAGTCAGTATTTTTTTTAATCAGAAATCAAAGGGTTGTTGACGATCTTTCGCCGGAGTAACATTTTTTGTTTGAAGAATTTGCTGCGACTGTTTCTTCTTTAGTACCTAATTAAAGGTAACGTTTTCTCCAAAAAATCTGAAATTATAATAAATAACCCTCGTGTAATGAAATGTACGTGTAGTGAAATGTATATCTAATCTATTCAATGTATTCAAAAGTAATAAAGTAGCCTGATGCGTTTTCTGTATAAGAAAAACTAGCGTTATTTATTTGAACTATGATGTGATCGGCGTGATCGCCATATACTTATTATACTCTTTGGTGATCGCTGTCTAAAAATACCTGTAAGCAAAGAGAATATAATCACTACGTTTTTTTTGCCTGTAAGAACCAGTACCAGCGTAACCGAGGGTGAAAAAAAGAAAACAAAACTTTCCCTTTTTAGCAGTCACGTTTAATGAAATATCGTACGTTCGAAAAATATATAGATAACCATTTGATTAAAATTTTAAAATACTACTTCCTGATGAATGATACAACTCCACAATTTATATCGCCACCACTTCCCCAGAATTTGATACTTACTCGAAGGTTCTATGAAATGCAGTTTCCTAAGTAACTTAAACTGTTTACGCTTCTCAATTTATTAAATCAATACATCGTAGTTAGTCATAGATTATTATTAAATCTTGTAGATTAATAGAGATTTCTTTGAGTTTTATTTGATAATATCATAGATGTAGCATTTGGTATATGGTATTTTATTTAGGTAAGTACTTTGTTTTGGCCTTTTATATAAAAAAACATAAAGCTATTTTACGATTCAAATATTTCCCGTAAAAATTGCTATTTAAAAAAAATATATTAATATAGAAGGTAAAGATAAAAACTTCGTTTTTATATACTAACACAATGTGACTTCTTTTTTCTTTATTTATTTATTGGTCCGTAAAAGTTCCTAGGTGAACATGGGCCTCTTATACGTTGTAGGGAGGATTTGCCTTAATGTTCATGCTTAGTATCTTAGTAAGAGGATTGACGACTGAAGTGCCAGACTTCTCGCACCTTTAATGCTGTTGCCCGTCGTCGATTTAAGTAGGTAAAAAAATTCTGGCATTTTTGATACTTCACCTACTAGACGAAATCGGGTGACGGATCCTCTTACGCTGCCTCCTAACGACACCTAATTTTACATTGTATTGTTATATTATTGTTTATATTGTTTTATGTAATCATTAATATACAAAACGATGAATTTGGTTACTTAAATTTGCTCTCAATTTCAATCACAACTTTCAAATACCACTGATTTCCAGTACAAATAGATAAAATTCAATTTTATCAGCATTCTAAAAAAAATATTCAGACATATATTGTTAATGTTACATATTATATCGAGTTGTAGATTGAATGTCTTCATTCAAAAAGAACTAGAATGTCTTATGGGATGGTTAATAATTACCTTACTAGCACTACAATTATGTCCTGTGAGTTTCGTTAGTAACTCACATCCTAATAGGTACCTGCACCAAACGAATAAATTATTTTTTATTGTGTATGTGTATGTATGTGTGTATATGAATTAATAAATTTCGATATTTTTTTTAATTAAATAACAAATTTGATATTTAACAAACATTTCTAGGTCAAAAGCAAAATGAACAAGGAAATTGTGAAATTACAAAATTATTTTAACAATCTTAATTTGCGAAATAACATTAACATAAAAAGTACGATAAAAAAGATCGAAAATATAAAATGTAAAGATTGGAAACAGATTTTAAAACAAGACAGTGAAGAAATCAATAATGAATTTGTGTCTTATTTAGCGAACAATGAAAATTCACAATGTTCGGCAATGGATAATAATTTTAAGCTTCAAATTAAACCTTTTAAACAGTCAAACGCATACAACGATAAAAAAATATATAATAGAAATGAACTTGATACTGTTGTGCGCAGTGATGAAGATTTAGATTTTACTAATGCCGTTGATAAGCAAAATTGCGAGAATTGCGAACAAATAACAACTGCTACAAATAATTATTTTAATAATGATTTAGATATTAATTACAATATTAAAGAAAACAAGAATGGTGTTGATGATAAGAAATCAAATTCTGTTAACGAAATAAATGAATTTCGTACTGATTTAGAATCACTTTTAATACTGATGGCAATTAATTCTAAGGCTGACAATAATGAGGATCATCACAAATTTGAAGCGGATAATCATTATGATAATGAAACAATTATTAAAAACGAATGCAATGAAGACTATGTGCATGAAAGAGTAATTTCGAAAAAAGAAAATAACGATATGTCGGATCTATTATGTATTATACCAATAAGAACGAATACTCAAAAGAGATTTAATTATATATGTAAAAAATATGTTAAGAAATGGAAGGATCATGTAGAGAATAAGAAACAAATTAGACAAAGGGAAGCTGCCATTACTAACTTTTTTGATAAACTTGCAAAGAAGAAGAGTAATATTATTCAATCACCGGAGTCTATTAATAAGACAAAGTTATATGTTCGGGATTACAATACATATCAACACAGGTATGCAATAGTACGAGTGTAGACTAAAGTATAGGTTTCAAATACAGGTGTTATTTTTTATAATAATAATTATTATTATCAATATACTATGATGACCTTAGTTAAACTGACAATATCAGTTTGCTACTTTTATCAGCCGACTGCTTCAGAAGGTGGGTAATGTTTTTGTGTAGGTATGTATGTATGTGTATTTCTTTGGCATCCTCTGTAGCCTGAACGGCTTGAAGAATTTTAACATATGGGGTGTCGATGGATTAGTCTCAGTTGTGGCAGTTACTTAGGGCAGGGGTCACCAAATGGCATACCGCGGCCCAGATCCGGACCGCCGAGGTATATTGTGCGGACCCAGAAGAATCTAAGAAAAATTAAATTTTCTTTTGTATCTGCACAAAAATTCGGAAGTTCTTTGCCAAGAATTTTAGATAAAATTAGTATGTGGTAATAAATACCCAGAAGCGTTTTCCGACATAAACTTCATTAAAAATAAATTTCTCGTCTTACCGATGACCATCTCCAAGATGTAATGGCAATAGATTGCACCTATTTAATTTCAGACTTCAGACCGATTGTTCAGATTAAAAAATGCTAATTAATATTGGCTACTTTGTTATTTTTTAATTAGATGTATCCTGGATAAAAAATATTCTGATTTCGATTTGAAACGGACCGCAACAGATTTATATTTTTTATTAAACGGACCCGCAATTAAACTAATTGGTAATGCCTGACTTAGGGTATAAACATTTTCTATTTTCAGTAAACTTTTTACAAAGTCGGGTTTTTCGATTATACTTTTTATGTAGTAAGCACACACACTTGTTTATCGATCTTTTAGGTTCTTATCGAGACAAATGTCCTGTACTGGAGTAGCTTGGCAGACTATTCCCTACTCCATTAAAATTTTCAAAAGCTTATTGGAGGCTAGTATTAGATTAGTACAAAGGATTTTAAGTTTTTTAATTTATATAGAAGTAGGTATTATTTCAGATATAAAGTGCAACAAAACATTATCGCCCTTCAAAAAATGAAATTAGAGGAACAAACTAAAATTATAGAGCAACTTAAGTATAACAAAATAATAGAATCATCAAAACAGTCGCTTGACGCGATGCGAGAAGAAGTCTGTAAAACTTACTATCAAATGGATCGACAGCTTAAACCGAAAATCAAGTGTTTGACTAATGAACTTAAGATACGAGAAATTGAAGGTGCGTTTAAGTACTTATATTAGGTTTTTTTTATTAGAGAGAGAGGAGGAAATCTTCAAAAATACACCGTCAAGTTGGTGTAAGACCGGTAGTGTGGGATTTTTACCCGCTAAAACCTCCTCTCTCTTAAGTACCCAGCACCACGGGACCGCGTTAACATTACTTCATGGTGCTGGTACTCCTCCTCATCGCTGCATTACGCGACTACTCCTCCGTTTCTTACTTCTTTTCTTCCCTCTTCTTCATCAGTATATTAGGATTACCAACCCTACTATATAATATATAATATAATAGGCCCAGATAATATATTTCTATATAGAATATATTATAGTAATCGAAACTACGGTAATGTAATATGGCTTATGGCTGTTATAAAAGTTCCATCAAAGTAGCATGCCTTTAATTTTTTTTTATAGGATAGGGTGACAAACGAGCACACGGTCCACCTGATGGTAAGTGGTTGCTGTGGTCCATAGACATCTACATCTATCCTCGTTTGCGAATCAAAATGCAGATGCGTTGTCACCCGTGAGGACTATGATGGAATGCCTCTTTTCCAGCAAAAAGGGTCTCCGGTTCTATACACTCACCATACAAACACGGTAGCGTTATGTTGCTATTTTACGCTGGTATTCTGTGAGAGCGTGGTCCTTCCCCGGTCGAGCCGACCCATTCGTGTTACAGCTATACTACTAATATAGCTGCAGCATGGCTCTACCATGTAATATAAATAATATTTCAATTATTATTTCATGGCTTCCCCCAAAGAACGTTATAGAACCCGGTTCTGAGGCATCTGCAATCATGAACTTTCTGCATGTCACCAAATCATTACGCCTTCTATTGAACCATATTATATGTTTTCCTATTTTTTCGACAATCGTTGATTTACTTGAAATGTATGAAGCATTTAAAACTGTTTTCTTTTTAAAAGAAGTTTTAACGTAAAGGAAGTTTCGTTTTTACTTATTACTAGTGATCTGCCCCTGCTTCGCACGGGTGATTTCTGAATCTCAACAACAACTGTGAATCTGTGCCCAATTGTGAATCTAAACCATTCTCGAATTAACACACAAAATTTCATCAAAATCGGTCCAGATGTTTAGGAGGAGTTCAGTCACATTCACATACATACATAGAGAAGAATTACATTTATAAAGATAAGTGCTTGACTATAATCCCGCCTGGTGGCAAGTGGTGCAAGTGGTGATGAAGACCTAGATGGTAAATCGCACTTTATTAGCGTAACAAATAGCCTATTCACTGTTAACTTGAGTTTATTCGGACGGAAAGACAGAAGCCGGCAAATTATTTCACTCCTTTACTATATACATTACGAAAACGAAGCAAACAGTTTGGTTCTGATGCGAGAAGTAATGACAACAATGGCGTGAAGACCCGCCGACCGGCTAGTTGCCCGATGGTGTAAAGGGGAGGGAATTAAAGCATGTAATTCTTGCGCACACTAGCGCCGCTAAAACGTACGACGTTGTTAGAAAAAAGGAATAATGACAATTGTTTCATAGAAACTGTTGTTGATACTATAAAGTATATAATACATACATAATATTCACCGTTGATGTAAAACATACTAGGACTGATCATCGTATTGTGCCAATATTTGAGGTAAAAACACAAAATGTTGGTTTCCCGTCTATAAAGTCTAGGCGGATATAATTATAGCTATCGTGATGTATTATTTACTCCATGTATTATAAAATAATTAATTGTAAATTTCAGAACCCTCACTGGTACTACAATGTTTAAAAGTACCACAGTTTATACAAAGAATGGAGAAACGAGCAAGGGAGCGCGAGGAAAAACATGCAATGATTCGAGAAAGACGCCGGCAAATGGAAGAAGAGCGAATCAGGCTTAAGCAACAGGTGACGTATTACAAAATAGTTAGACGTATGGGTTCCATCATCATACCTCACACTGCTAATATATTTCTAATATAATGATATACTGGCATATTTAAAATAATAAAAAAAAAGGTCGCTCAAGGAAGGACTACGTTTACAGATGTAGAATATCGGCGTAAAATAGCAGGATAATGCGATGTGTTTCGTATTAGAAAGGCCTTTTTTTATGGTAATGAGGCCTCCCTTAGTGGTCAGGGTTAACAACTCCTTTGTATTTTGATTCTTAGTAGAGGTTAAATATAGGTTACATCTACTTGTTCTCTTGTAGAGAATTTGGCTGGATCAGTATTAAAATTAAAAACTTACCAACAATGGATCAAGTGGGAGCAAAATATAATAAAATGCGACCAGTCATTCATCTCCATCATCATCATTATCGTTATTACAATTCTTCACAAGCCCACTACTAAACATAAAACTAACATAAACCATGGCCCCGAGCCACCAATCCATATAGTGGGGGCCCCCATTCATTGCCTTCCATGCCTAACAAAAACGCATCGAATCTAGGCTAGTCAACTTGACTTGTATTTGTTTCTTGTATGTTCTTTATAGGAGAGCACTGCGACTCTTTGTTAATCGCCGTTGTTACGTAGGAAATAGATAGGAGGAGAATTATTGCGATTGGAATCGGCGAGCCTAGTCGACGCTAGCCCTAGATCATTATGATATCATAAGTTAATATAAGTTTTATTAACAATGTGTTCTATTGATTTGATCGAATTCCGTATGGGATATTTCAGTCTGAATTAGCCAAAGCAGATATGGATAAAGAAGAAAAGCAAAAAAGAATGAAAGAATTAAGAGAGAAACGGAAGAGAGAAAAAATAGAAAACATTCGAAAAAAACAACATGCTGAAAGAATGAGAGCGCTTGCGGTTCTAGCAGATTTACATTATGAAAAGAAAATAATGGCGAAATACGGAATAAATCCATTACGACGGTTGTTGAATATTAAGCGAGACAATATGGAAAAAGCAAGGTCACATTACTTGTTTCAATTGAAGAAGAATGTATTTTTGCATTGGATGTGGCATACGGAAGATATGTGGTTTGAAAGAAACTACAAAGCAGAAGAATTTTCTAGAAAGAAAATATTGAGCAGAACTTTCGACTGTTTAAAAAAGGTACAGGCAAATTTTAACTATCACTATAATTACGGTCTATCAAAAGTCCACCGCTGCAACATAAGTGCCTCATAGATTGCCTCATAGGCATTTGCTATAATTGTGACACTTGGAGTTGGCAACCGCAGTATTTCTACACTACCTACCAAGGCATATTTTAGAAAAGTAAGAAGTATGTATGATGAAAACGCTTGATCTTTTTATTTCAGAACCATCACGAATTTAAATTAAAAGTTCAGGTGGCTGAAGATTATTACGATTTATACATAACACAATTAGTATTTCGAAAATTTCGAGAGGGCATTGAACTGGTGAAGAAAGAATTTAAAATTAAGATGTATAACGCTGTATTGTATCACAACAGGTAAGAAGTCAATAAATACATCAATATAAATTATATCTACTAATTTGGCGTTATTTCGATTTAAGATAGATAAAGACAGAAAAATATATCCTAGATCTCCTTTGGCTATCTGTTCGTAAAGTTTCATCACAATCAGTTTCTAGTGATTGCAAACGCTGTTACTAATTTTGAGGTACCGAGCTCGAATCCCCAGGTAGGGCCAAAATTAGTTATTGGGTATTTTTATCAAGAGATTCTCAGTAGCACCCTAGAGTCAGGAAGTTGGCAGTATTCCACCCCAGTGCCTCGGAAAGTAGATAAAGCCGTAGCTCCTGCTTTCTCTATAATCCTGTCCTGCGCAGATGGCAATCTTCGTTGAGACCGGTCGCCTTGCCTGAAATTTGGTTTGGAGGACACTATAATTATTTATTATCATCATCATTACAGCCCTTCACAAGTCCACTGCTGAACATAGGCCTCGCCCATGGAATGCCACAAAGATTATTATTAAGACAAAAATTATTATTATTATATACATATAAATAAAATTGAAGTGTCTGCCTGTAATAGCGAAACAACTGTCTTAGAACAATCTCACATCAATAATTATAATATGATAACACCAAAATATATCAGGTATATAAACCAACATCAACACTGCACACCACGATGCACACTTGTCAGCTTCACCCCTCTACTCTGCTTATTTTAGGAATAGATATAGTGGAATAAGCACAATTGTTTGACTATTGTGGTTATCCCGCTCATCAGAATATCTATAACATGTTGAATCATAATTACTATCTGATGGCTTCGTGGCTTAGTATTGAGTTGTGAGCGGAGCTGAGGGCCTAAAAATTTCTGGGTCTGTAGGTTTGTGTGTGTGCAATTTATGAATGTAAACTGTCTCTACGACACAGGCGTAAATCCTAAAGTTAACGGTCCGTCAGTGTATATAATATTACGATCTCCCGCCCTCCTCTCCATGACTATAGGCCCGTATTAATTAACGTTATTCAACGATGAACTCAAGTGCGTAATCATTTGATACGCCCTCTTTGCGATATCAGCATCTCAAGATCATTGCTAATTAATAAACACATAAAAACAGTATCTCAAGACACTGTACTTAGGAATACTGTTTATTAATAGGATCATAACCTCAAGATTGTACTCAAGTGCGTGTACTTGAGCTGAGTAACGTTTATTAATACGGGCCTTACACACGTTTAACAGTGCATGTCTATTATGGATCTCTTGAGAATACTCTCAATTTCGCGAATAAATCATTTATACTTCTTCTGAAAACCTAGACAGAGAAATCTAAACTAGCGTTTCCTACCTTTTCCAGCCACGGATCCCTAGGAAACCAAGCGCAATTATCAAGCACCCTCTTATAAAAAAAAAAAAACAGTAATAACATAGATTAATCTATGAGTAATAAATTTCTGGACCATTTATTCTAGTAGGTACTACGAATAAATAAGACTCATTTTTTATAAAAAAAAATAATACGTATTTTGTTTTCGTTATTATAAATGCGTAGGCATTCGATTCTTAATGTGAAGGTTGCTGGTTTTTTTTTTTGCAACTAAGTTAGTGATATTGGGGTTGATGTTACTACAAAGTTATATTCTCAAATCGGATTGCACTTGTAATTGGTTTTTGTATTTTAACTTTAGGTGGTATATATTTATTATTGTTAAATAGTTTAGAGATGAGACTGCGGACCCCCATAAATATACTCGCGGAACCCCAGGGGTCCGCAGACTACAGGTTAAGAAACATTGATGTAGATCATTAGGAGTATGGCGTTTACAAAGACAATAATCAGAAAACTACAAAAAAAAAGTTAAAAAAAGAAAATCTTTCAAAAATTAAAGAAATCACTTAATAATACCAAATAATAATATTTTAGCATGAAATAATTATCATATATCATATCATATCAATAATATTCTCCGGGCCGTATTTCGGCCAAGGTGGCCAGTCTTAACGGAGACCAGCCGTCTGCGCAGGATATGGTTATAATGCACGATTGTGTGCACAAACATGTGTGAAGTCTCTGTCCCCAAACACAGGCGAAGTCTCTGTTTACTCACTCACATAATCCGATTGGACGGCAATCAGCCACAACTGAATAGAGATCAGGCGCAGAACCAACAGCTTTATATGCTTTCCCTGGCAGGGGTTGAAACAACGCTAACTTCCTGACTCCGGGTTGCTACTGAGAATTTCTTGTCAGAAAAACCTATTAACTGATATTGACCAGGGATTTGAATGGAGGACCACCAGACAAACGAGGCAGTTCTCCCAGCAAATATATACATAAATATAGTATGTTGGCGTAGTTCAGTACGAACGAACGGTAACGGGTAACGGTAAAACCGAAAACCCTGAAAGGTTTTTGGCTATAGGTTTTTGTTGTATTTAAAAAATTTAAACGTATTCTAAAGACTAGACTTGACGGAGCAAGAAGCAAAGAAATTCCCTGACAGAGCTTGTACCTATACTTATCCATCCATCCATTACAGCCTATAGAAGTCCACTAGTGAACATAAGCCTCCCCCCCCCCCCCCCCATAGACTGCATCTACAGGCTCGCAGGGCGGATTTTGCCATAGTTGCCACGCTTAGCAGACGGGTTGTTACCAGGAAGGTGTTGCTGCTAATCACCTGTTTCAATTTCCCTCTGTCGCCTCTTACGACACCACTGGACGATATGGGGTAATAGATATTCTTACATAGCCACTACATGGTCACATATACTTGAATATACAATATTTATGTATAGACGGCTCCGTGGCTTAGCAATGAGTTGTTGGGCTTGGGCCGCGGGTTCGAATCCCGCACGGAACAAGTATTTGTATGGCCTACAAATAATTGTTCCGGGTCTGGATGTTTGTCCTTGTGCAATTTACGTTTGTAAACTGCCTCCACGATAGAGGAGAAAATCCTAGTGTGGGGGTAACGTTTTATTTTAAAGAAAGAAAAAAAGAAATATTACGAATTTGTTGCGGAGTTCCTAAAAGAAATTTAACTTATTATTTTAATATTCCAGTAATCTACTGTTCAAAACGTTCACGTGCTGGAGGACGTTACCTGCCTTAAATGCATTAAAAAGAGAACAAGAGGTCAGAAAATTAAGATGGCGAGAGAAAGTATTGCAAGTTGTGCCAGATTATAAACCTCCAGATGAATGAATGATTTATATTTATCTTAGGGCGTTCAATAAAAATTGAGAATAATTATGTTACAGGTAACTTTTATTAAATGTTAGGGTAAGGGGCCTAATAAGCCGGCACTCTAAGGAAAGTTTAAAAAAAAGCAGGTAGGAAATGTCATATTCCAACAACTTTAATTGCTATCGGATAGTAATTTCATTATAGCTTAATAGTACACTAACATACTATATTCAAATGAATCTTTAAAAGAAAACCATGATAGAAATTACAAAACCATAACAAATTAGTGCTAATGGGCACACAGAGGGCACAGCGAGCAAACTGTATACTCCTCAAATTACTATGAACATTTAACCGTTTAGCCAAAGACTTTAATACAGATAATTCATTTTGTACAGCCTAAAATCATGAATAGTGGTACAAATGAACTTGCAGCATTACAACAACTTAACACTGTTGTTGTCCTTCCTCGTACACTGCTTGCTATTAGACTAACTTACCATTTTCAATACTTTTGTCAGGACTCTAAGTGGCTTTTTTTATAGGATAAGGATGTCAAACGATCACACAGTCCACCTGGTGTTAAGTGGTTGCTGTGGCCCATAGGCATCTACATCTATCCTCGTTTGCGAATAAAATGCAGATGCGTTGTCAGCCGTGAGGACTAAGATAGAATGTCTGCTTTCCAGTAAAAAGGGTCTCCGGTTCTCTACACTCAACATACGAAACAAAGGAGTGTTATGCTATTTTACGCTCATATTCTGTGAGAGCGTGATTCTTCCCCGTTCGAGCCGAACCATTCGTGTTACAACTACTTATACTATTAAAATGCTTAGGCTTATTGAAGGATTCTGCACTCCCGTTTCATCAATATTATACACATAGTACGAGTAGCATCGCTATTTTTCAATTTGTTTCTCTAGCTCTAGTAAATCAAAAATCCTCTAGATTTGACGCTTGTTAAAGCTACTAGCTCTAGCTATGGATGTTGGCACTGGTTTCTTTAAGGTAAAGTATCCTGACTTTCATCGTCCGAAAAATCCTTTGTGCTAATTCGATCTGGCAGCACCATCTTTGAATAGGTGACGTATTTGGTATTTTTCTGCAAACTTAAAAGTGAGTTTGAGAAATTCTTCATTCCATAATCCATAAAATAAGTTACACATTTAGAAAATTAACTCTTTCTTTAGTAATGGACTCTATGGTTGTACTTTTGCCAGTGTCAGATATTATGAAATTATCTTTTAAAAACTTATTTACAATATAATGTTGCGTCACATTGAGATTTTGGTGGCAGCTTGAGCCAGCAAACTGTCGATGACGATAATATCTCAAGGTACACATAATAACTTGAGCTTCACATCAGCACTTGTTTCATTCACAAGCATATTTAATACAGAAAATCGCACTACTTTAATGTATCAAAATCCACTTCAAATCATTAAACAATAATATAGGCGCAGCAATTTACCTGCGAATAATAAAAAATAATTCCCGCCATAACTCCTGTAATATTCCACCCTTAACCAGCCAGTACTTACTTTTTTTTTAAATACAAAGTGTTGGTATTGCCTATTATTTTATTCTGTGGTATTGTATAAAATGTATTCTCATTGGAGTTTCGGCGGGAACCTAACCGGTAGCGGATTGCGGTGTGGTTTGAGGTGGATTTTGATATGTAAAAGTAAAAAAACGATTTTTTTGTATTAAATGTCTGCGTATTTGAACTATTAGTAGGAACGGTGAAATAAGTGATCCGATGGTGATGTGAATCTCGAGATAAGATGTTTGTCTTCTTAAGCGCCTTGAGATACTATCACCAACTGTCTACTGGCTCAAGTTGCCGTCAAAATCTCCTAAAAACTACGTAATGTGACGCATCAACATATTGTGAAGCAGTGTACTATAAAGGACTATTATCACTTGATATTGAAAAACTACAAAAACGACGATTCCGTATGAAATGAAGACATGGCTTAAAAGACAAGCATCCAAGTCAAATTTTTTAATAAAAACGTAGCCTCATTAATTTGAATAGCTTGCTACATATTTATTTATCTATGAATTTGAACGCCCTTGTAATCTTAAGCGTGATGTATTATGTAGGTGCTCTTGTAAAATCGAAATTTTCTCTAAATAGGTATTAATATTTGTTCATGTAGATTAAGTAATTAATAGTATACATACATACAAATTACGTTTTTATGTAAGTGAATGCGCCACTAAGTATGAACTTATTAAAATAAATATAATAGAAATAGTTGTATCTATTATTTTCTTTCTCAACGGTGGAATGAAAAATACTCTTGACAGTCCTTCTAAATTAGGTAGCAAGTAATGTTTCTCGAAGCCCCAGCGACTATCCAGTTGTAGACCAAGATACATCATGTACTGCACCACTCTGATTTCAGACAAGCAGATCCAGACGTACGAGCCAGTTGATTACTGGAAATAAATAGCCTAGGTCATGTAAGGCGCTCATTCTTTCTAATAACGAAGATTTCCATAACAAGCTTGGTGAGCTATTTGGTCTTCTCGGAAGTGACCCAGCTGACGACCAACAACGTCTTGTCGACATATTAACACAAGATGCTTGCACTGCTGGTGCTTTCACTACTGTGTTCCGGTCTGAAGCTTATATAGAGCCAGTATAAACAAAGAGCCAGTAATAGCACCTGTATCCTTCTTTTATAAACGGGCTTTCAACATCTTACAAGCGCTAGAGTTGCGGAAAGTTAGTTTGACCGCATTAAATATATTGAATATTGCCGTAAAACTATCTGCCAGACCATTCGCCAGTAGAGATTTTTAGTCAGCAGCAGTCGAGACAAACTTTTGTCAGTCTAAACTGCCTCCGCTGGTAAAACTGAATGACACAATGCTTTCTTTGCTTGTAACATACATCTAGATATTGACAACAACATTCCACCTGAAATACCTTACTTCGGTACCTCCATGTAGGAGATCCGAATCACTAATAAAGAGGTTCTTAAAACCTTGCGCGGTCTAGAAGTGAACAAAGTTAGTGGACCAGATGCTATATAGCTCTAGTCCTAAGACTTGTGGATCCGAGTTGCTTCCTGCGACGCGCTGGTTCCGTCTAACACTAAGGACTGGAATAATGCCAAAATCTTGGAAGCTGGCCAATGTGCAGCCTGTTCCAAAAAATGCAGCCGTTCCAACCCTGCTAAATATCGGCCAATCTCAATTATCTCCTTACTCTGCAAGATTATGTAGCGTATATACTTATACTCTTTTATAGAATAGGAGTGACAAACGAGCACACAGTCCACCTGATGGTAAGTGGATGTTGTTTACCATAGAAATCTACATTTATCCTCGATTAAGAATCAATAAGAAAGACTTTTTTGTCGTATTCATTTGTAAACTTTATTCACGTCTGGGAATAAAGTTTAAAAATTTGTTTAAAACCGCTAAATTCGTCTGGTGATTCGCAGGTATTATTAAAAATTACTCAATAAATACGTGATTAAAATTTGAGACTGCCAAAAGTATATTTTTTTGGAACTTAAAAAATATTTTTGGAGAGGTCTGGTAATACTTTATAACCGACAAAAACTTAGGAATTATATAAAAACTAAATTAAAAGATAAAAAAGTAATCAAGTTGCCAAAAAAACATTTTTTTAGATTTTTTTTGTTTGCAAATGTTGTATGCTGCGCAGTAACGAAATAACCACAAACGCTCTGCCAGATTCGCGGGACTGGATTCGTCAATTGACAAAATTATATTTTTTCACAATTTCAACTTGCCCAAAGGACCTTCCCAAAATTCGTCGCCAGCTCTCAGACTATATGAACGAACGTGGACGACGCAACGGACTGGAATATTTTTTTGATATCTATCATTCCATCCGATTATTATAATAAGAGCTTAGCGCGTTTGTAGTCTACAAGCCAAGAATGAAAAGGGTTTGTTAAGCTTAGCCGGCGAAAATGGTAAAACGCATTGATTTTACCAGTTTCGCCTGCATCATCACTCAATATCATGTACATATTATATATATACAGGATAGTACTTATAGTCAAGCATTGGCTTATAGTTAAAAAAATATTTTTTACAGGCGTGACAAAAATGATGACTGGAACAGTGAATTTCTTTATTGTTCGTTAAAATAAATAATGTTTAGTAGGTAGTAGATCTTTTCTACATAGAGTATAATATTTACAACTGCTTTTCTAGACTGACATATCACCAATATCATCTGCTTTTCATTGTTTACTGAAGGCCAATTACTTTCGAAAGTGGAGAGATTGCTGTAATTTTTTCTTTAACTTTGGTATATTCTAAATCTGTTGTTTAAATCAACAGTACACGTTAATTAACTTAAGGTATAAGGATTTTGACCATTGACCGATTCTTTGTTGTGCTATAGACCACCAACTTTTAGTTGATTTTTAAGTTTTTTTTTCTATAAATTGTAGTTCCTTATTTTAACATAGCAACACCTAGTATTAAAAAAACTGTATCGGTAGTATCTGCACACGATATGTATCACCAAAAATGTTGTATACTTGATTTTTATACGTGAGAGAGTTGAATAACGTCATGCCTGTGCGGACCACTTCGGTTCCTTCAGGGACCACCGGTTAAGAACCACTGCCGCCACTCCGTTAGAGAATGACAAATTCTTTTATTTTACGCCGCCACCACAGGTACGATATATAAACAATATTCTATAAGTGTGTGTTAACTGAGAAGTTCGCATACGAAGTATTGAACAAAAGATAGGTATTACCTATCCAAATGTGTCCTTTCTAAATATTACCATACTCTTTGGAGCGTTCTACAAAAGTGGCCTTGGATTGCCTTATGTGTACTTCAAAGAATTGACAGATTAAGACTGGTAGCAAATGTGCTATCTTATTATTTACATTTTACCTTAGGCAAGTTTTTGACTTTGGTAGCCACTATTCTGCTGAGATTCTGCTAGACTGCTTCTATTGAGCAATGTAATCATTTGGCTTTTAATTTGGAATCAGTTCCAACTAATTTATATTACATGACACATGTAGTGAATCCCATAATAGAGGCAACCTCTAGCAATAATAAGAGTTTAATTAATTTAAACTGCAGCTCATAAATAAATAATAAGAATTGTTTACACCTGATGTAACAAAATTTACAAGGTATGATGGGCAGAGAATTAGAAGTTGAATTGTTTTTAAATAGTAACAACATACATATCCTTTGTATTACTGAATATTGGCTAAAAGTTTGTAATTTAATGTTTAATTTCAGAAATCACCTGGTGGTCAGTTCCTTCAATGAAGAAAAATGTTTACGTGGTGGCTTTTTTTTTATAGGATAAGTGTGACAAACGAGCACACAGTCCACCTGATGGTAAGTGGTTGCTGCGGCCCATAGACATCTACATCTATCCTCTGTTACAAATCAAAATGTAGATGCGTTGTCACCCGTGAGGACTAAGATGGAATGCCTAATTTCCAGTAAAAAGGGCCTCCGGCCACCTGAACTCACCAAGCGAAACGCAGAGGTAAACCTCTACTTCACGCTGGTTTTCTATGAGGTCGTGGTACTACCCCGGTTCGAGCCGGCCTATCCGTGCGACAGCAAAAGCTCCTTAATATTAGCTGAAAAATCATTATTATATAAAGAACGTAAGAATATTGAGAGCCTCTCTGTTGAGTGAACTGTAGAAATGGCTTGTGTCGAGCTCAAGCACCTCATTGTTGTTTACAGACCCCCATGTACTTACGAATATTTTGAAAGGATTTTGAAAGAAGTTTTTACCACGGGGAGTGCTCTGAAGAATTGTTCGGATTAATCCCAGCCGCCAAATTTCACGAACGCACATCGCGGCAGAACTCCCGATACCATCCACACCATCTGGATGATTGGCGGTCCACCACTGTGCGATTTAGAAGATGTTTTCTTCCTCGCACAACTTCCTTGTGGAATAGTTTACCACCAGCGATTTTTCCGGACCGATACGACTTAGGGACCTTCAAGAAAAGAGCCTACTCCTTTTTAAGACCGGCAACGCATCTGCAATTCCCCTGGTGTTGCGGTTCTTCATGGGCGGCGGTAGTCACTTACCATCAGGTGAGCAGCATGCTCGTTTGCCCCCTCTCCTATATAAAAAAGTTTTGCTCAAACTTAGTAAACAGAACAAGTCTGTTGGAATATGTGGAGACTTTAACATCAACCTCCTTAAAACTTCTTCCATTAGTATTAAATTTAGCTCATTGTTCAAATCGTATAATCTTGTTAATTTATTCTTAGAACCGACACGTATTTCTGGGCCTAGTGCCACCTGTATAGATAACATTTTTACAGATGTTAAGCCCTTGCATAAATCAATCATTCAAAATTTAGGTTCAGATCACTGTGGATAGTTGGTCTCATTGTCTTACATACACAAAAACAAAAATGAGAAAGTTGTGTTTGTTCCAATAAATGAATAATAAAAGTAACGAATAAATAAGAAATATAGAAGTAACATAGTAGTGCTCGGGGCAAACTGAGCAACAATACCAAGGCGACCCCTGCCACGCTATCCGTGAATTTCTGCAACATCAGGGGAATTCACTCGAACCTAAACGCCGTCGGAGGAGACGCAGGTGTCCTCTCCGGCTGATACTTCGTATCTCTCTTACCCGGGGTACAAATTGGAACACTCCTTGTGCCTCGGGCTCGAGTTTCCGTATGGATCAGAGAGGACATCTGTTCTCGACGCTTTGGCAGTCTTGAAGGACCTGTCCATCCTTTGGCTACGCGTAGACAGCGACGACCATCGGCATGTTTACGAGTGCCTCTATAGACCCCATAGCGGTAATGCCGAAACAGACCAATTCATCGACCACGTCCAAATGGCTACAGATTCCTTGCTACAGCAGATCCTATCCGCAGAGAGTGTGATACTCAGCGATTGTAACGCCCACCACGCCGAATGGCTCGGTTCATGTTTAACCGATCATGCGGGGAGATGTGTTCATGATTTTGCCTTGGCATAGGGTCTGACACAACTGGTAACTTCGCCTTCGCGGGTTCCAGATGTGGAAGATCATGTACCTTCCCTGTTGGACCTTCTGTTGACCTCTCATTCAGATAGATATCAGGTCTCCGTCCACTCCCCTCTTGGCTCCTCAGATCATTCAAGAGTCCAGAGTGTGGTGCCACTCACACTAACATCGCGATTGCATTCTGCAGGCTCACTAAAAAAGGCGATCGCTTATACCCGTGTAGCTATGCCTATCGCCATCACCTTGTTCTCCAAAATAATGGAATCCATTATAAACTGCCAGCTCATGCGGTATCTTGAGGATTACCAGCTGATTAGTGACCGCATATACGATTTTCGTCGGGGTCAGTTAGATGGTGATCTTCTGGTCTACTTGACTCATAGATGGGCGGAGGCATAAGAGTCGGAGGGGAGGCATTGGCCGTTAGTTTGGACATTGCGAAGGCCTTTCGATCGGATTTGGCACAAAGCTCTTCTTTCAAACCTACCTTTTTATGGGCTTCCCGAGAAATTGTGCAACTGAATCGCCAGCTTTCTTGTAGATCTGAGCATCTCCTCGATCCCTCCTTTCAAGGCACTCCCCTTGTTGCCTCAGCCAGTATCAGAATCCTCGGCGTCGACATATCGAGTGACGTGCAAGTTTCGTGATCACTTGGAAGAGAAGGCCAAATTAGCCTTTAAAACGCTTTGCGTGCTCAGCAGAGCGGGACAGTATTTTACAGACACTACACCGCCTGCAACTTTACAAGGCGCAGGTTCGGCCTCACATGGAATACTGTTCCCATCACTGGGCTGGGGCTCCCCGGGGCTTTATTAAAAAATATAAAGCTGTTTTTGGTACAAACAATATTTATATTTCAATATTTGTTTTCTTTAAGTTTTTTTAGAAATCTCTTCCTGATGAAACAATATCTAAGGCCCATGGCCAGCCACGCCACGCCGCCGCGACGCCGCCGCCGCCGAGAAAATTTTCGGGCCACGCCGCTGCCGTGGAATTGACCTTCGGCGCTCATATCTAGTGGATACTGACCGGCGTTACGGGACGTACTTAATGTAACGTGTTACACAGCGAGCGTTCGTGCAGTCAGTACGGGGAAACAAGGCGCTCGCAACGAGCAACAAGTTGCTCGTTGCTCGCTGCGAGTGCTCCACCCCCTGTATTTTTTTTGACGAATCCTTTGAGTGTTACGTGCTTCAGTCAGTACATCGCAGCGAATCGTGACGAGCGCACATGGCACAGGCGATGCGAGTCTAGGTACAGTCCTCGCGGCGTAAGCTGAGCTTTGCATTTGTGTGAGTGATCGCCAAAAGTACAGTTAGTAAAAAATCAATGTTTTATTAAAAGTTAATGCTGATATTTTGATTATCCTAAATTATAGTAATAACAGTAATAAACTACATAACAATATTATAACTCTTCTTCTCCGCTCATTGCATCTTCATCTTCACTCTCGTCTGATGACTCATCAGAGCCTGTGTTAATAATGAATCGCTCCGATAAACCGTCGATAGCGGCGTCTCGACCATCAAATGCTTTTTCTTCTTTAACTGCACGGTCACAAACATTTTTCCACTCTTGTACAGTGATCGCGTCAACTTTTTCCTTTGTTAATCTCATTATAGTGTCCATATTCATTGACACGTTTTTTTTTAGCTACGTATCCTTTTACCATTGCCCATATATTTTCAATAGGATTGAAATCAGGGTGGTAGGGTGGTAGACGTAGAACGCTGTGACCATGTTCTTGGAGCAAATTATCAATTTTATATTCAACAAATCTTGCTTTGTTTTGTAGTAACAACTGATAAAGTTGTGGTTTAAGCATCGATCCAGAGTGATTGATATTTCGATATTTGAACCAATCAATCATAGCTTGTTTACGATGGTTTGAATTGGGCGCGGGATTTTGAAACGAATCGTGGTATGATGCATTGTTAACCACCACAACACTATTCGGTTTTAAATTTGGAATTAGCTGCGTTTGCAACCATTTTGTGTAATTCTCGGTGTTCATATTATAATGATAATCACCACTTTTTTGGTTTGCCTTGAACATGAGTAGGGCATTCGGTATGAAACCGTCCTCTCCGCCGGCATGAACTATTATTAACCGATTTCCCTTAGAAATTGGTTTCTTTAAACCAGAGGTGCTTCCATCTGAATAAGATTTCGACGAAGTGTGAGACGTGTATATATATGTTTCGTCGGTATAAACGATTGGGCGGCCCTGGGCGCGATATTCAGGAATTTTAATGAGAAACATTATTCGAAGATATCGTATTTCATGTTTCTCCATAAGGATTCTGCGATTATTTTCTGTCCTTTTCCACTTGAATCCTAATAGAGATACTTCTTTTCTTAATGACGTAATTGCACCTGGATAATTTATTTCTGCCTTTAACTTTTCGTGTAATATTTTCATAGTGGGAACCTGTTTGTCGGTGATGTGAAAGTTATGAAGTATTCTCCGAATTACCGCTTTATCAAAATCATCGATCACAATGATATTTTTCCTGCATCTTGTTTTTTTCGGAGATTTCAATTTGCTTCCATCTTCCAAAGCACATTTACCTTCTAATAAAATCTTTTTTACAGTTGACAGCGGAATTCCCGTCGATGTCGCTACCAACTGGGCCGACGTAACGACATTTGACATATCCTTGTCGTTTAAATCTTTGAAATACGTATACAATTTGTATAAAAATTATTTTGTTTGGCTGTTTAATGGTCGTTTAGTCAATTTACTTACAGTAAAAATTCGAACACAACCACATAAAATTACACGTGTATCTGCTAGCGGTACCAGAGGTGAAGTGGGGAATGTGCGCGGCAGGGAAGCGACGCGTGGAGGATGCGCCGCGCCTCAGGCCGCGTTTTAAAAACCAGTATAAACTGGTTTAAACCATGCGCGGGACGCGCTGCGCCTCAAGCCGTATCCCACTGTACACTATCTGTGTGCACTCACACAAATGCAAAGCTCAGCTTACGCCGCGAGGACTGTACTTCGAGCCTTTAGTTTATTAGTTGTGATTATTTGTTTTTAAAAATATGGAGTAGGACAAAGATAAAACTCTGTATGTCATCATAGATCCCAATGCAACTTCGTCATCCGACATATTGGCTAGGAGTGGCAACGAATCTGAATCACGAGCGAGCAGTTTTTGAAACGAGCGTTTTACATTGATTTTAGTACACGGCGTAACGTATTATGCTCGCTGCGTCTGGTACAGTAACACCGGTCAGTACCCTCCTGAGTGTTCTTTCACAAAATATATTATGTAAGCATGTGACTTTATAACAACGCGTATGAAATGGATTTAATATTTTAAAGGATTAAATTGGATTTAACAGTTTATTAAAATCAAAAAGTAAATTATAAAAAATAATATTTTAATACTCAATGTTTCTTATAATATACATCACAATTAAAATAAAGCAATAGGTATATAATATGAGCGGTCACAGAAAGGATAACGTTCTAGTACCTACCTACAAAATAAGGAGGTACAGTTTCCAATATACAAAATTGATGATTGTCTGAATGAAGGCTAAACCTTTCAACCAACAAAAGGTCTTTAATGCAGTTTTACCACCTGTATATATATATAATATACTTACATATGATTTTTGCGTTTTGTACAATTATAACTTATAAATAATATAAAGCTGTCGACCGTAATTAAACACGTCTAGCTTGTGCTTACCATTCTATATTGCAAAATAATATGGAAATTATTTTATATATTAATATAACCCTTGCAATAAAAACTATATAACTACTATGTATAACAATGTACAAAAAGAATTAACATACGAGACTAGATCCAGATGTTTACAAGATACAATGTTAAATATACAGTATAGAAGTCTAAAACATACTATCTATTATTTATAACAAGCTGTAACACCCTATTTCATCTCCTTAGGGGTTGAATTGTTGTCAAATCCTTTCTTAGTTGGTGTCTACGTCGAGAAAGGAAGCATGTATATGTGCCAAATTTCAAGCAAATTGGGCGTATGGTTTAGATCTCGTGATGAGTGAGTGAGTCAGTGATATTTTGCTTATAATACAGATTAAAAGTGCACATTCATAACATTGTAAAATTTTAACTGGACTTTTGTACTTGTAGGTTAAAATTATTTAAAAATAGTTAAAATAATTTTCTTAACAGTTTCCCAATCCACAAAATAGACATAATAGCTTAAAGTTAAACAATCGAAATTATCTTATATAACTCGCGGTACTGGGAAAAAGGATTTAACATACATGTATAGGAAAATATTATGCTGATCTCTATTAAACCTTCAGTTTTTGTTACTTAAATAATATAAAAATAAACATTATCATCATGTTTGCATTATCGCAATTAAGTTATGATATTGTAGTTCGTAAATTTCCTTAGTTTTACATAAATATATTAGGTAACATTCAATTAGCATTATTAGAATAACTGGTTAGAAAAAGCTAGTAAGAAAAAGTTTGTGATGCGTAGGCGGTGCAGTGTTGTACCGCAATTATTTCGCCGTGCCCCACTAAACTGTGGCGGGTGCTAAGTCGCAACGCAATGCAGTAACCGTTTCACTTAAACTGTTTAAATGTCTATGGTTCTGGCTGTTCTTCCTATACACTAATTACATCATTGTTTAACGAACGAAACCAGTATAAAGTGGAGATATGCGAGCGAGACGAAAATTAACCACAAACGTTCATACATAGACATACATATAATATACAAACTCACATACACACACATACAAAGAGACGTCCTCCTAAAGACTATGATATTGGACTCTGTAGACTTTTAAAAAGTGGAGACACGACAAAATTTAGAAGTTGCAAAATTAGTCCCATTACAATAACTTACTACTGGGATTAATTTTTGATTTGGTTAATAATTGAAAGCAGAAGGTCAACGTCGACGTGACGTCAAATCATAAAACGTCTTTGTTCGGCCGTGACAGTGAGGATAGCAAAGCACTGGAAACAGGGAGTATTAAGTTTAGTAAATTAGTAGCGATTCATTTGAAACTTGAACTAGTAAACTTTAAATTTATGTTAAAAACATTAATTCTAAGAGGAAAAGTAAACTCTTATTTTAATTGAAATGATAAGGTTATTTGAAGTTAATTTTACCAAACTTCAATAAAAGGAAAAAGAATGACAGATTTTTTCATTACTCCTTTAGAATAAATAAAAAGATGTTTTGGTAAAATAAAAGTGAAAATATAATCTTTTTAAAAACATGTACGCTTACTTTAAATGACAATCAAATCTGCAGTCAAATTGCTATTAATTTATCTTTAGTGGAAATTGTTGGTCAGTGTGAATGACTCCGCAAACTTAAAATTATATACTAACATTAAAAAAATAAGCTTGCGTCCAAATGAAGCTAATCACAGATTTCCACTAGATTAAGACAATATCACTGCTGTTTAAAGTTTGTGGGGTCAATGTGAAAGTTGGTTTTCGATAAAGGGTTAATAAATACATTAATACTTTTTATTCGATTGTTATATTTTGTATGCTAAATACTTCGATCAACAATGATCGAAGGCTAAATAAATAAATATATAGCTGAATTAAGATTGTAAGACATCTGTTTAAAAACCAGGTTTGGAAAGAAAAATTGTTTTATTTGCTCTATAATACCCAAATTGAAAAGGAAGCTTATGATTTTAATTATGTATGTTTGTTTGTATTTATATGTATGTATGCACATCTGTTCCTTCATCTTCTAATCTACTCGCTGTATTTTAGAAAATGTGGTATTGTTAGAATACATGCTCTTTCACAGGTTATACGCTATGACATCGTGTTAAATTCAACATTGCGGTTCGTTGCGGATCTTAAGTGCTACCAAAAAGTTATATGATGATTGAAATATCGTGTATGGTATTTAAAGATATGTCTTAACGAGTAAATTACGAAAGTATAAAGATTGCCTGTAAGTATAAGTACATAAGCAGCATTTTGTTTAATTTAAAGTTAAATTAATACGGCTCAATGACTTTTTCTGCCACCAGGGCGGCGCCACTGGAAAATGAGGTATAATATTTGACAGATTTTATGGCGGAGAAGTTAATTTGTTCGGATAATGTAAATGTTAATGTTTCTTTCTGTAATACTAGCTATATTTTATATTAATAACATAAAAAATAAATAAACCAAACCACAGATATTAACAAAAGTAGAAAAATTAAAGAAAAATGTTAAAAATGTGCATAAAATTAAAGAGCAAACCACTGACGCAATGTTTTGTGTATTAATATAATACTGTAAAAGCTGAAAAACATTTATTAAAAAACAACTTCTGAATTAAATTACATTGTGTAACAAAACATTTTACCTCAGTGTCAACTAGCGACACCCGGTGAGCAGAAAATTATTAGCCCTCATTAAGTTGATATTAATAAATACATAATTTAAAATTAAAATTTTTGTACAGCCGACTTCAATATAAGTTATTAAGAATACCTCAAAAACTATTGGTCTGACCTTGATCAAATTCATATGGGACCACACGAGAAGTATCAGCTTTCATATAAAAAAGAATCATCGAAATCGGTTCACCCAGTAAAAAGTTATGAGGTAACACACATAAAAAAAACATACGCGTCGAATTTAGTACCGTCTCCTTTTTGGAAGTTTGCAGAAAAGGTAACATGCGTTAGGCTGTATAACGTCCTTTCAAATTTTATTAACTAGATACTATTTATAAAAAAAATAATTATAGTGTAAATGAAGCAAAAATTATTATGACTGAAACGTTGATGTAAAAAGTAATAAGTTAAGTAATACTTAAAGAGTGCGCCGAGCTCCTGGCATTAATTGATTTTAGTTAATCTACTTAGAATAACTAAAATCAATTAGTTACCGCGCTTCGTGTGTGTGCGTAAGGTAAAGTCCGAGCGTTCTATCTTGGCCGGGCTGAAGTTAGTCGCGAGTGGCTGCGTAGATATAGTTTTGAAGAACAAAATGGTGACAAGAGGAGTGTTAGGGTGGGCGGTAACTAAAACTATAGATGAAAAATACGCATATTGCGCGGTTACAATTACGTAAATAATGGAGTATCGTTATTATACATTATGATTTGATTTTATATTATTTATGGTTCTGTAGTATATTAATATTTTATTACTTACTTACTTATCTTCACGCACAATCCCTGACGGGGTAGCCAGAGAGAACAGATCGCCAAGTGTCACGATCCTTACATACCTCTTTCGCTTCTTTCAGATTCATTATCTTCTTCATACATGCACGTCTAGGTATCCGAGTACTCTTGACCCTCCCCTCTTCGAGCAATTTGCTCACATGGTCTTCGAAAGTTAGTCTCGGTCTACCTCGACACCTTTTAATATTTACTTTCGCGCTATATATTTTCTTCACCATTCAGTCTTCACTCATTCGCTAAACGCTAAATATTTTATTGAAAAATTTTAAGTATAATATTATTTCGGGGTTACTGAAAGAACGTGTTATCCCCGCTAATATCGTATATTTACTATATATTCAAACTATTTATCGTAATTCTTTGTTAGATACTATTGTTGAAATAGATAAATATATTTTATAATAATAATTTTTCCATTACATAATCGATATAGACAAAATAAACTGTTTCCCTAAGCAATCTTAGGAACGAATATGAAGTGGCACATCTCTATCGACTAGCGTCTGTACTTGCGCGAATGTCTCGTAAAGCCAACTTCATCCCAGCCAAGATAGAATGTAGTTTTATTCAAAAACTGATGACTTTCCGAGAAGTATTTACGCCGTACTAAGGGTTTATTTTGTTTTTTAGAGATTACTTTGGATTTTATTCTATTGAGTAAACTACAATTAATCGAGTTTCTAAAGTGTACGATTTAAAGAGTGAATCCATAAATATCTAAAGTTGGCCAAGCCTCAGCTAACGAGAGCGTAGGCAAATTGATACAAGGAGAGTGCTACAGTCTACATATTGACCAAGTTTGAATGAGTGAACATAATGACATGGTCAACTAACATGTGGACACGAATTGCAGAGTGCTGGCGAACGCCTTTGATTTGTGCAGAAAACCGACACTGTTCCGAAGTGAGACGAGTCGTGGCGAGTGATCCCGAGTGGTGGGAAGGCACGCCAAACGAACCGTATACATGTTGGCTCTTGCATGCACTGGGCTAGCTAGGCGAGTGACGACGAGCAATAGCGAGGCTAGGCAAATGTTCTGTCCATATGTTAGTACTTGTCGTCGCTCGGCCAACATATATAGCCGGCTTTACATATTAATTGCATAACTGAAGGTTAAGTAATAACGATGCAGCAAGGGATCACACAAATAAAATTACGTATCGCTTCCATAAACAAATAAAATAAAAATATATATACATAGCTCGTGTTTGGTATTTAACATGAGTACATTCTTAATTCACATATTATTTATTTCACTAAAGGATTACATTAAAAAATAATTATATAAATTATATCTCTTGAATGTCTCAAAATTAAACAACTAGCTACCTACGATCCCAATCCCCAAAATAAATTAAATAAAAGAAAGACAAAAAATAAAACCGCGTTTTTGCCATAGTTCCAGCAAAAGCCTCTTCCAACTTCTTCCTTTGATATCTGTCAGCTGCAACTCTTATCCAAAACGATTCCAGAGTTAGCCTAAATTTGTACTCCCATCTTCTTGTAAGGTGACCTCTGCCTCTGATACCATTTAACCAGAGTGCCACCCGTTTACTCTACTTTTCCTTGTTGCAGCGAAACATAATGCTTTAAAATATCTGTTATTTTGGACCTGTGCCTAATCATTTAACTTCTCTTGATAGCTTTTTGATAATAATATTCTAAGTTTGCCCCTATTCTGTCCTGTGAGTTTCCAAGTCGCAGTATTTTTTTTATATTGTTGCTAAAATGTCTGTTCATAATTTCTCTCAAAGACCAGTATTTTCTTTTCCCAGAAGCTATCCTTTTTATCATCCCATCTTTGGGAGATATTATTTGGCTCACTCTTGTACCCGAGTTCCTGTCCATTAAAGCGCGTGTGTACTTCGTCTGAATTTGTCATCATTTTGGTTTTGCTTGAGTTATTTTCAGTTCTTCGCCGTTTCTTTTTGTTAGATTTTATAGCATAGTTCCTACAGTTTTGGGTGTTCTTTAAGAATGATCAGATCAACGATGAATTTTAGATGACTGATGCGGGATTTAGGCCAAGGTGATTTCAGTCCAGTATTTTCAACATTTGTGAAGCAACACTTGCACAAGCACACTGCTAAGAATAGCTTAGACGAAAGTGCTTGAAAGAACTTGACAAACTCTTCTGATGATTGGTAATCGATCATAATACATAATTTTGCTAAAATACTGGGTCTTTTTTTACGATTCTTTGGATTGTTACAAATAAGGATTACTTAATTCGTCAAAATCCGCGAAGATAATCTCTATAGTAAACTAAGTTTTAAATGGTTTTGAATATTATGTACACCTACTAATTATACTTTTTATGGCATTGTTCTCTTATAAATATACAAAACACAATTTACTTTCTGTATTTTTTTTAAGTAAATAGTAATATTCAAAAGTAAATCACACATCAACATTCACTAATTTTCTCCACCGTGGTGCTGAAAACACAAACCACATGTAAAAAGCATGTTTAAAATCGAGAACCATAAAAACTAAGTATGTCAGTTTACATTATAGTATAATGCTGGTTAAATTTGGATGTTAAATATATCTTAAAATACATATAGCATAACAAATAAAACTAAGGTCTGAAGAAGATAGTATTAATTTTTATATTGTAAGTAATTACAACTTACCAATAAATTTTGGAATAAATACTAATATCTGTCGTATCAATACTAGTGTAATGATACATAAGTATCCTAATCCATAGGCACAAGATACGAATGATATGGCAAGCCTGAAATCAGAACTGTATGGTAAAAAAATATTACAACTAGTCTGGCCATAAATAATTTTACAATTTAAGAAGTTCCTTTTCCTTTTTTTGTTATTCAAATGTAAAGGTTCCTCGAAACGGTCAACTACGGTTGTCAATATCTTCGTGAATGACACCCATAGATGCGATCGTTTACTTTATACAATTGAAGCGATTATCAATATAACTACGGCATTGTCGGCAAATTGCAATAAAATGATTAGAGGCAATTGTCGCGTCGTGCATTGAAAGTTTAATGAAAGCATACGACAATCGTTTTTTGTAAGAAATACCAAATCTACGTATGAAATCATCGCATTTATGATTGACGCAGGCGACTTTTCAATATCATCACAGTTCAACAACTGACTGAGGCATGTGCCTCATACACCTTCAGTTGGAGCTTCTTTCGCCCGTCATTTGAAACATCCACTCACGTAACCATTGAACACGTGAGCAAACATGGTGAACATGTCCGAACACAAATTTGACGCCTACGTGGCCTTGAAGAGAAACCTACATGGGTGGCCCGAGAAGAAGGACACGGTGGAGAAGGAGGACACGAGTGGAGAGAGATCAGGCGCAGGACTAACGGCTTAACGTGCTTTCTGGGGGACGGTGGTGAATGAAACACAGCCAAATTCCTGACTCCGAGCTGCTACTGACAATTTCTCGACAGGAAAACCAAATAATTGATTTTGGACCGACACGGGTTTTGTACCTGTGACCTCGTGTGCAATTGCGTTTACGGCCACTAGATTAGCAGGGCAGTCGATACCACGAAGCAAATACAAAGAGGAGATGGCATAAGCAACTGTGCACTGTGATTCTAACTAGGTCCTGACGTCATCACAGTGAGCGTGGCTTTACTTCGTGTACTGTCAGCGTTCGTCCTGTGCGCATATGTGTCGAAAATCGCAAATCGGTATATTTTCGGTGTATTAAGAAGAAAAGGATGAACTGTTGTGTTTCATCGTGTAAAAACTACTCAAATAGACGCTCTGATACTATGGACGGCATCACATTTTATTTGTAAGTAATTTTATACATAATTTATTAAAAAGGTTCTAGAAAAATTTCTGCGTCGGCTTTCAAATGCAATTTAATATATTCGATGGTGACACTTTGTGTCATGGGAACTAAAAATATAAAGTTACGTAGAGCTCAGTATTGGTAAAATAATCATACGAAGGTGTTGAAATTTGTTTTGCATTCAGTCCTAAAGAAATTTTAATAGCCAAAATATTATTTTTATAGTTTTATAATGATTTTGTGAACAGGCCGCCATCTATCGTCAAGGTAGCTAAACTACATTGCAACATCGATATGGAACGATTCAAGTACTTTTACTATTTATCGGTAGATGTAGATAGTAAAGTGGGCGGGGCTTAACATCGGCTCGCCCCGCAAATTGTCACGCGTTGTTACATAGTGAAATTTAATAACAACACCTCCTCTTTGTATTTGCTCTGTGGTCGATACATACGTTTACATAAGTTTAATTATTATTATACTGCTTTTTTGTAAAGATAAGCATTTTAATATGTAAAAGAACTTATGGCCATACTAGGTACACACTATACTATTTAAACATAAAAAAATAATTTGTCATGTAAATAACTAATTCAGTTTTAACTAATTTGATAAAAAGAATCGACGATTAAAACAGAACATTGAATTTATGCAAATAAGTGTCAAGTCTGCCACGAGTAGTTGTTAAGTAAAAGTAATATCCTGCCATTAATGATAAGAAATACAGTGTAACTTTGATATAACGAGCCTCAATATAACGAATTCCTCAATTTAACGAATTTTTCGAAATCCACTAGAACTGGCCCGTAAGAGCTAATGCAAAACATACCACTGCATTACAAATACATTTATCAAAAACCTCTTTATAACGAATTTTTAATCATTGCAGATTAAAGGTAGAGAAGGTATTATTTACCTCTATTTATTGGAATCTTGACATAACATATATTATTAATTATTCCCACTTAATTCCAGAATACAAACGAATAAGGTACAATTTTTAAAAGTGTATGGTAACAGTACTCTGTTACCATACGCTTATTAATTATCTTTCTATAATTACTTTTGTAACAAACTATAATAAAAAGCTATTCTGCCAAAGGTTAATAGAGATTGGAATGTGTTATTTAATGCATTGTGCTTAAAGTATATATTTCATTAAACCATCATATTGCAATCATATTGAAGTTAGCAACATACTAACAACGTAAAATATAACCTTTGTGCTATTTGTGCTTGACCAATTTTTTAAGATTAAAAAGTTTTTTGTGTTACTGTAACTGAATAAGAGTGTATATCATCCAGAATCCACAACTTTAGAACTGCTAAAATGAGGTGTACCTGATTAGTAGGTTAAAGCCTGCCACTAATGATTGTTAAATAAAACAGAATATGTGTAGCTCATAATTTGCCGCAGACTGATGACAGGCACTGGTGACAGACCTTCATAAGCAAATGGCAGGTTTCAAGATTATTATAATAAAGAAAAAAAAACTACCATATCAACCAATGAGTGACATAATAATATACAAGTACAGATATTTTTTACCACACCTGGAATGTTAACAAGGAAGCAAATCAAAAACAATATTTATCACTAAATCAGGGCACTTACTGGAATTCAAAGTAGACGTCTTCGCAATTCTCAGGCAACAAAATAACACCATAAAGTAAGAATGGTTGGCAAACTGTTGTAAGACCCAGATTGGTTACAAACAGAATTGTTGCAAAAGCTAAAATTTGTCCCGTTAAGAAGTATAAATAATTTTGCCTTAGTACACAACAGTTCCACCTGAATGAAAAAATACAGTATACTTGGGATAAACTTTATCATTTTTACACAGAATTATAACTAATATAACTCACCATATTGAGTGGAAAAATCTATCATTTACTTCAATTTGACATATCTGACAGTATTGTGAATCAGATGTTAATACTGGGCTGTAAAAAAAATAATATAACCCATTGAATTGATTTAAAAATGATTCAGAAATGGTTAAACTGGAAAATAGACAAGGAAATTATACCTGTATTCTTTTCCCTTAGATGAACCTGTAGCCAGTTCAAAATCAGCAATTGCTTTCATTTTATAAAAGAAATAACATGTGCATATTAACAGTAAGAGGAAAGCAAAGTTCTCCAATTGAGTTATTTCTAGCAACCTTAGTACTGCAATCTCAAATATAAGAAACATCCAAACTCCTGAAGACAAAGTCCAGGAGAAAAAAAATGGTGACCTGTAATAAAATTTTACTTATATTATTGATCCTACCAATATTTTATTACATGATATAGGCACACTGCAGCTATATTATAGTTGTAGCAAGAATGGTTCGACTCGATCGGTGAAGGACTACGCTCTCACAGAATACTAGCGTAAAAAAGCAGCTTAATACTGCTGTGTAACGTATAGTGAGTGTAGAGAACCAGAGACACGTTTTATTGGAAACGAGACATTTCATCTTAGTCCTCAGGGGTGACAATGCATCTGCATTTTGATTCTTAATCGAGAATAAATGAAGATGTCTGTGGGCCACAGCATCACTTACCATTAAGCAGGCTGTGTGCTCATCGTTTGTCACCCTTATTCTATAAAAAAAAGTTCATTAAAACATTTTCTGACAAGAACTCATAACTGAATCCAAAGATGTAGCATTTATTTTGATTATAAAAAAACTACATATTTAATGAGAGTGAGTAGTGTGACCTTGTCAAGTTGACAATGAAGCTCTCTGCTTAGAGTTCGAGGTGTGCAATACCAATGCATTAATAGATTTTGCTTAATTTTTTATACTGAAGTCTAAAGAATACAATTATTTAATACTAAATAAATATATGAACTTCATATAAAAACTTGTGTTTCTGTGAGGTTTCTGAAAGCAGTCAATGTCACAATTTGGCAGATCATGATAAGATGATAGAACAGTTTATAGCAGATTTTGCCAACCTTTTTTTGACCAGGGACTACTTTGTATTTTTCATAGTTAGCTGGGACCACAAGGTGAAAGAAAAATCTGTGTGAAAATACTTTTAACATGCTTGGAAAGCAAGCCTGTAAGAAAGGGATGTCATAATTATTTTAGTTGATTACCAATTGTAAGCAAACCAACAACTTGTTGGGTGAGGTTCTCTATCAGTATTGTTGCTTTTCGCATCTGAGTGCAATGATAATTAATAACAGTTACTGAACTTTAAAGTATCAATATGCTCTAAAAAATCATTATGAGCAAGGCTACTTAATGATATTTTGCTATAGTGAACACATGCCTAATCATGGTTAGTGAAAATTACAGCAAACACTTCTGATATATAAACAACGGCCTACCAGCGGAAAGTGAAACCGAAATGACAGAATCCGGTGCAGTTCACAGATATTAAGAGTATGTGAATCACAACTGTTAAAGCATTGGCGTAAGGGATTAAGAATACGCTGCTTCAAGTGATGTTGCAATACCTGAGTGATTAAAAAGACAAATTGTGTTAAATGTTAAAAATGAAATACTTTTCAATATGACTACAGACATACAAATTTTGAATATACCTACAAATACCTAGAATATCTACCTGTTTTTCTGACGAGGTCTTGAGTGAACATATAAAGCTCCCATACCAATAAATATCATAACTATTATTGTGATAGTTCGGGATAAGGTAGCTACTAATAATAAAAGTGGTAATATAATAAACGGTAAAACAGCATCTCTATCCACTTTTTTGCTACTTGATTTATAACATCCGAAAGATAAAACGTCCTGAATTGTAAGTGTTGTCATCACCATTTTGCTATTAAGTGTTCTTATTTCTTGAATAGTACTTAAAGTTTAAATGTTATAGGCAACTATATTTTGTTTGTCTACTCGTTTATAAGCTAACACTTCCATAATATTATATAGTAGTGAAAACTGTAAACCAAACAAAACAAGTGTCGAAAAGTCGAAAGAATCTTATTTATATTTTTGACATTTTAACAGTCAGCTGTTACCATAGAGATATATACGCTGGAACGCTGGTACTGATTGTTGTTTTTATTATTCGCTCGAGAGAGCAGCCAAAGGAACTAAGCCATACACCCTTGTCTTTTTTATTTTGAATATATAGAATTTTAGAGTGTAAAGGCCGGAACCAAGTCTTATTTTTCTTCTTTCCATCTCTTCAATATCCATAAAGGCCGTACTCAAGTCTTATTTTCTTTAATTCTTCATATTTTCAAAAACCCGTAAAGGCTAAAGCCAAGTCTCCTTTATATTATACTCTTTGTAAGTTTCAATCCATGTAGATTTGTCAATACAATATTTTCAAAAAAAAGGATACCATATTTCACATTTCTTTTACAGTATTATGAATAAAATTGCAAAGTGCTAAATATGTCTTAGTATTCCTAAGAACATCTTGCAGGGCACGCAGGACGCTTTCTGAGTTTTCATAAACTTGTATAAGTTTTTCAATGAGTAGCAATCGTTCTATGGCGTACGCTGGGCAGTTAAATATTATATGTTCTGCAGTCTGATCTGCTTCTGTATCACAGAAATTGCATGTTGCAGATGCTACTATTCTCATCCTGGAAAGATGAGCGTTCAGTCGATAGTGGCCAAATCTAAGTCTGTACATTATTGTATAAAATTTTCTGCTATGATATCTTCGCATATCGTTGCGAGAAAACCAAGGAATACTTAATTCTGAATTAATTGATGCATGCCAACGACCTTTTCCTGCCTCTAAAACAGCATTCCATTGCATTTTCTATTCTTCTTTTAACTCTTGCTTTAAAATTGAATATAAATCTGTATGTGGTATTACAACATCGGTTATCCTGTCAATATCAGCTGTAACTATACTTTTAGCTAAATGGTCTGCTCTTTCATTTCCTTGAACCCCAATATGTGACGGAGTCCATAAAAATTTTACTTCCAAATTATTTTCTTTCAATTTCCACCACAAACTTTTGATTTCATATATGATGAAAGACGTTTTAGCATCTAAAGCTCTTACCTTCAGCGCCTTCAAGACACTCATGCTATCAGAGATCAGTAACCATTTATTAGATACATGTGGGTGTTCTTCTATATATTTAAGAGCGATTAAGACAGCATAACATTTAGCAGTGTATATGCTTGCTAATGCAGGAATGGAAAGGCCACGTCCAGTTTTCAGATGAGGTATGTAAAATGCACAGGCTACTTTATTTTCAACTTTTGAACCATCTGTGTAAATTTGTCGATATTCATCATATGTAGATATAAGTTCATAAACATCTTCTTTTCTTTTCAATTTTTCATCAATATTTATGTGTATATCACTAAATTTACTTTCATAATTCCCTTTATTACAAGGCCAAGTATGTGTGCTTTTGTGAATATTATATTGTTCATCATATCGTATCACTTCATGAAAGTCATGGAGTATATATGGGGCTTAGTTAGATATAGGAGACATACTATTATAGAAAAATAATACTTTTTGAAAAAGAGGATGATGAGACAAAGAATTAATATTTAATAAAAACCTAAATTTCAGATATTTAAACCTAAGTAAGATAGGAGGAGTAAGATATTCAGCCTGTAGAGAAACAATAGGAGTTGTTCTCATAGAGTCAGTAATAAGTCTTAAATTCTTATTTTGTATATTTTCTAATTTGTTTACTAGTTTTTTATTTGATGCAAAACAAAGAAAGCCGTACTCAAAATGGCTCGTCACCAAAGACTTATATAACATTAATAATATTTCTGGATCAGCTCCCCAGTTAGTACTAGCCAAAGCTTTTAATACATTAAAGGCCTTAGAAGCTCTGTCTGAAATAGAATTCACGTATTTGGTCCAAGATAAATTATCTGTAAAAATTACACCTAAGAATTTTGCACAACTTTCTATTGGTAAAAATGTATTATTATAAATTATTCTAGTGTTAAATGGACGAATTTTATTAAATATTATGACTTTACTTTTCTCAGTACTGATATCTAAATTTAAGTATGAAAAGTAAATGTGCAATTTCTTTAAAGCCTCATTTTAAGTGGTTACCAAGTTTTTGGCATTTGTTCCTGAGGCATATATGATCAAATCATCTGCATATTGTAAATTAATAACATTTGATCCTAAAATATTGTTTAATTTAAATATGTATAAAATAAAGATAAGAGGACTTAATATTCCTCCTTGACAAACACCTGTATAACTGAGCCTAGGACCAATAATTGTATTATTATTATTAACTTTAGCAAAAACTCTTCTTTCATGTAAAAAGTTAAATATCCAATTTACAATTTTTCAGGAATGGCCAAAGACCTCAACTCTGCGGCGAGTACATGAAGATTAACGTTATTAAATGCACCAACAATGTCAAAGAATATACTAATTAATACTTCTTTATTTTCCATATTGGGTATCAAACAATATTCTTTCCAATCGTTAGGAATAAGTGAATGAAACCATAACATATTATATCGTCGCAATGTTAGTTAGTGCAGTCACTTCATAATGACGTGACGGCTCTAATGCCGAACTTACAGTATTTTTGTAGCGTAAGCATACCTACTGCGCAAAAATAATTCGAAATGGCGTGTCAACCTAAACGTTCCGAAACCGTCGTAATCCACGAGTTGCTGGCCTTTGTTCAACAAAAATTGGACGTCATGGACCAGGTGTCTCTAGAGCAGATACTGATGACAAGCTTCACCGAGGACGAGATCATCCAAGCGAAGAAGGTGTTAGCAGATTCAGCCGTGACCCAAATCCGTCTTATCACACGTCACAGGGATGGACACGGTAAGAAAGACCTGCAAGACATCTTCAGGCTGTTCAATGAGACCGACCCTGATGACATCCCAACTTTCGTCGCGCGTGATCTCAACAAGCTGCCTCCCGTGACGTTCGATCACGTAGACGTCACCAGATTGTTGAAAGACATCACCACGTTGAGAGCCGATATTACCGACATCCGTTCCAAATTTGATGAATCAGAACGAGCCGCAACAGAGCTGAGGAACGAAGTCAATATGTTGCGCAACATAATTGCAATATCTGCAAATTCACCGCCGTCGCAGAATGTGAATACGACACGCGGTAACCGTAATAGTAGTCATATTTCACCGATGATTGCGACTCCGTCACGCGATACCGTCTGTCAGCGGGTTCATGACCGAGAAACTAGGACGACCTCGGTCGTCATTGCATCACCACCTCAACCCTTGACTGAACCCATTGGTACTCCTCCGCCGAAGCCAACCTCAAAACAAGGGAAGACGTTTGCGGATGTTGCCCGAAAATCTTTACAACCGGCACCCTCTTGTGGTCGAAAGCGGAAGAATGTGGAAATAAAATCAGTTCCAGTGGTGACCCAAGACAAGATTGATAAGGACGGGTTTACTCTTGTTGAGAAGAGACGTCGGTCGCGACCCGTCTGTAACCAGCGTGGGACCGCGAAAATAAACGCGAGTACAACTCTGCGTGCTGTGGAGCCAACCATACAACTCTACATCTCCCGTTTGGACAAAAGTACGTCGGGAGAAGACGTCCTGCGCTTCGTGGAAGAACGAAGCCGATGCCGCATTGAGGATCCGATCTCTTTACATTTGCAGCGTCTGGAGTCTAATAGGTCAACGAACTTCAAATCCTACGTACTCCAGGTTCCTGCAAAACATAAAGAGACATTCCTCGCTCCCGATTTCTGGCCCTCTGGGGTAGTGTTTCGCCGATACAGGGACGCGCCAAAGAAAAAAGTTCCCTAAATAGTGTTAAGTTATGTCTATATTTTATATATATTTTTAGGTTAAGGTATATATTGCTACTGGGCCAATGTTCTTAATTTTTAAGTCCTTGATGCCTGAAATAAAGTTATTGTAAGTTATTGTATTGTATATATTTTCAAAACTAGTTCTCTACACGCAGTTTTCATATTTTTTAAAGCTTTATATGGAACAGAATCTAAACCACAAGTAATGTCTTTTCTAGAGTTAACAGCTGAATTGAATTCGGTCAAGGTAAAAGGTTTGGTAAGATAATCACAATGATTATCATTTGAGGAGTGAGGGGTTAGAGGTGTTTCATCTGTTTCTGGAGTATATTTTTTCAAAAATTCATTAGCCCAATTAGAATCTATGACAGATGTGTTATTATGAACAAAAGTTTTGTTAAACTTTTTAATGTAATTTCATACTCTAGTCAATGGAGTAGATCTATTAAAAGATTCACATAGTTTTTTCCAGCTAAGCTGTCTTTCAGTCTTCAAAGTAATTTTTTTAACAGCTTTTAGTCTTTTAAAATTAATATAATTTCGTTCTGTGGGATCATTCTTAAATACTAAATATACATTTTTACAATTTAATACTCCCTCTTTGCATTTTAAATTCCACCAAGGTAGAGAATTTTTTTAATTCTTTTAAAAGATTGCAAGTTGATGTTAACATTTCGATTAGAAGACTGATTGGATGGTGTGGATTCATGCATGGATTGTTTTATTAGTTCTATTAAGTCTGTATAACATTGTAAAGGATTACTATAACCAAAACTATAATTTTTAATTAAATTATCTATTAAATTTGGATATTTTGACCAATCTACCAATTTTAAGTTTATGTTATTTGATACAGCCGTTTCTTGAAAATTTTGATTATTGATCGTAATTTTTGTCTTTACAGGAAAATTATAGCTGCCTAGAGAATCATCATCACATACTTGCCACTCATAAGACAGAGCCAGTGAAGATGAAACAAGTGTTAAGTCTAATGCGTTCTGCCTCCATCTATGAGATCCTACTGTAGTCATCTGACCATCATTCAAGATT